AAGTATGGCACTTTGAGCTTTTATGATATTCTGGCATAGGCTGTGATTTTCCCATTTCTATTTTGGCCTTCAGATGGCTGTCTCTCTGACGAAATGAAGAAATAGGCGATTTTAGAGATGAATTGTTTTAGTCACTTAAAAAAGCCAGACTACTCCTAACCGAGGCATCTGTCTTGTTCGCCTGTTATACTCAACAGCTCCGTCAGTCATTCGCTCCCGACTTCACTGGGGAAAGGTGGCCACGATGTTCTTCCTCCTCGGCCGGCTAGCCGAGCATGTGGTGCGTGGAAAGACGAGTTCGTCATCTGAAGATGAGAGAGGAAAGGCGTCTGCAGGCAGAAAGCTGAAGAAACGGCCGCAGAGAAGGGGTCGCAGAGAGCACCGTCAGGTGGTGGGGCAAGGTGAGTCCGTGTCTGGTTTACTCTAAATAAGATCTTGAGTCGGTAGATTTCGCTCAAGGCGAAGCAAAAACGGCTGGTGGACGTTCAGACTAAAGGCAGTTTAGTCTTAGCCTGGCGCACATCAGTACCGGAAACGGGATTCGAACATGGGCCGTGCGCATTAAGTGGCAAAGTTTGACCACTCTCTTACAGAGTAGGCTTCAAGTAACACCATTTAAAATGAAATTGTGATAAACGAGAAGTTGTAGTCTCCGATACAATAGACGACACTACTTTTACTAAATAAGTAGCCAGTTGAGATCACTTAACAGGGTGGAGAGTGAAAATTGAAATTTTTTACAATGAGATGAGTACGCCCTAAGATGCCGTTGGCTTACATTTGGCTTTATTCATTGGGATTTTATCTCGGATTAATCCTCGTCTGGATATTGTTCATAGCCCCAATACGAGTCGAAAACAGGTCAAATTTACGGGTAGGGAATATTGGGTCACAAGGCTATATTTCTCCAAATTCGCATTTTATAGTGGGATTTAAGATCATGAAAACTTGTAGTTAGCATTACACTCTAAGACGTTACTTTTATTCCCTTATGTAGATCAGTTACATCATCTTATGTGACTTAGAGGGACCAATATACTTATTTAATACTTATTGACTTAGTGCTAACTTAAGGATTTTGCAAGAATGAGTCCCAGCTCTATAAATGTTCATCATACAACGAATGAAAGCCCAGCCCGTCTTTGCCTGAAACGTTGGAGGATGTCTCGTAGATTGCATCCGTCTGAACATTGTATTAAGGCCATCAGCTGACATCTTCTTATGAGATTTAGGTGCGAATCCTTTAATCATGTACTTACATACGAAATGAAAGTCTTGACATCATGATGATGATGATGTTGCCTCCGAGATTCGAGGGCAATTTCTACAGAAATTGTCACCTCTCTCACTTATGGTTTCGTATGGTCCACGATAAAATGGTTCCCTCAGGTGGAATGGATACACTTTGATAGAACAGGTGGGACAAATTTCTCGACCGCAGACCGGCCATGCATAGATATGACTATATATATATATATATATATATATGAATGAGCAAAGAAGGGCTGACCAGTTAGCATAACTCTTTGGCCCGAGAATATGCTTTCATTATGAAATTGTTGCGATCAAAGGCAGTTTAAGTGAAATTGTGGGATAAAGTGGTTTGCAAATTGGTCACTCTAGAAGAAAAAACTGGAGCCGCTTTAGTTGCAAATGGGCTGGGCTCTTGTCTGCAAATCCACTTTACAAA